ATCGTCTCATCAATCTCGACGACTTTGCCTGGTCCGCCTAGCTAAACAGGATGCGCATTAAAGTAAGAGATGCATACATCCCGGAAAGCTTTAAAATAAGAAACGATAGAAACGATTATCGTACTGCCAGTTTTCCGGAGCATGTCCAGTGCAATTTGGTCGTATATTGGCATGCGAACCTAGGTCTAACAGTAAGATAAAAAAAAAAAACTTCTTTTGGCTTCAAAATTCCTCTTTCAAAAAACGTCTCTATTTGAAACCTCACCTTTCTCCTGCAAACCCTCTTTTTGCATCAAAAATACCTTCTTTGCACACTACCGTCTTTATTCCTAGTAGCAGTTAGGGTCATACCGCTGCCGCAAAAACAAACTCGCTGAACGAAAAGAACCCCAAGCATTTGAAGGAAAGCCTTAAACCCTTTATCAGAAAGCGTAAGCTTCTGAGAAAGATTCCGCTGACCGAAACTACGGAAGCAATCCATTGGAGCTTAAGAAAACGCACGCCGATTAACACTTAATTGGTGGAAGACAATGAATAACATCGAAGAATAGCAGAAGGTAACTTTTAGCCTCAGGGATTTTCAAATTCTGAAGGTTTACCAGCAAAAAATCAGAATATTTGCTGGGGATAGAACCAACAACCACCACGCAACACGCTAACTCACAATCCCCTGTGCTAAGTAAAAACTCGCGGTTGCAACATTTTAAGGCATATTTGAAGTTTTTTGCGATTAGGTAAAAAAGTGAAAGAGGAAGGAAGCTTCCTGAGCTCCGTTCGCTTCTCCTGTCTTTCCCTCTTCCTTAGCTGTGTTGGAGAGGAGGACATTTGCCGTTTTCTCAGCTTTCTCCCCCTCTTCACCAAAATGCATTAACCGGGCGCTTTACGATAAAAGGGACCATCTGACGCCCAGTGAGTTGGGTAAATCAATCAATTACATTTTCTTCAAAATTCAGAAGAAAACTTGCAGGACACCTCCATATTCCGACTTCCCTATATAGCTGCGTGCAACCACCTCTAGACGGGTTGCGCAGGCTGTGCGTCAGAGAAGTGAGGAGGTAATTCTTACCGTTATCAGTGAGTTACACATACTGTATATGGCATTCACATACCGTACAAAAAAGCGGGCTTCTGATTGGCATCATCGTCTTCAGCCAATCAGCATGATAGGGCCACCAGTCTAAATGAGAGCCAACATGGCTTAGGTATTAGACAAAAACCAATGAAATTAGTAATTTTTTGCTTTTTATTTTGCGCAGTAGTATGCCGTAGTCGACTGTAGTTAAGAAATTTCTGTAATTTTTGCAAGTAGTCACTGTTCTTTGTTCATAACACTTTAAATTATGTTTTTTGTCTCTCACACTCATGTAGGACCTAACTTTGAAGAAAATTCGTAAGTGAAAAAACGAAAAATTGAAAAGGAAATTACTGCTTCTTGCTGTGTATCCCCCAACGTTACTTAAGCAATTTTAGTTACAGATATTTTGAAAGTGTGCTTCGTATTCTATTTTCACTAGTTTCTTCTTTTTTTGTTTAAAACCTTCGTTGCTATCAAAAAGTTTCTACTAATGCATCAAGATGCAATCATTCTTTATTGGTAAACTAAAACAGTTCTAAGGTTTGAGCGATGTCATTATACGATTTTTTGTAATAGTGTTAGTGTAGAGCAATTTTAATATTATAAAAGGCCTTCAAAAATACTTTCTCCTTTTTGCTCTTAGTTCCTTACTGGGCACACACATGATTTGTCTAATTACGGAGAACTTTAAATACAACATAACAGTTTCCTCGATCTTTCGTCTCCCGTTTAGTGCAAAATTTGCGATGTTAGTCAAAAGTGGAAAAAAAGAGGTAAATTTGTTTAAAAAAATAATTTTTTTGCTCTTTTTAGAAACATAGAAAGTGCTGAATGGGTTTTTTACAATTACTCTTCTGCGACTTCTTGTAAGGCTGCGTGATTGGAGAAAGATTGTACACTGTTGCTATCTGTTGCAATGGAGATCTTTGTTTTATTTTGTTGGTTCCCCCTCCCCCCCCCCCCC